AAATCGAAATTCGAAAACATTTAAAACAAGAGAGAACGCTATAGTCGGGTTGATGTCCCGACTATCTAATACCCGTCCCTCTAAGGGAGTGCGAACGCTGTACTCGGGTTGGTGTCCCGACTAATAATCGTAACTCAGCTAAAAGGAAGTGCGAGGGAGATAGATATATAAATTTTGATTGCGTATAACTTTTTAATGAATGGTCCGATTTGAAAAATGTCTTCTACATTTCGATAGGTATAAATATACACAACAAAATTGCATTTATACTTTTCGGAAATCTTTAAAGATGTGGCGCAGGACCCATTTTAAAATCGTTAGTGGGCGATTGTGGGCGTTAGAGGGGGCGTGGCGCTCGGCTAAAATAAACTTGCGCTGCGTAGGAAGCCAAAGAATATGTGTGGGAAATCTCAACCTTCTAGCTTTTGTAGTTTCTGAGATCTCAGCGTTCATACAGACGGACAGACGGAGAGACGGACAGACGGACATGGCTAGATCGACTCGGCTGATGTCCCTGATCAAGAATATAGATACTTTATGGGGTCGGAAACGCTTCCTTCTAGCTGTTACATACTTTTGCACAAATCTAATATACCCTTTTAATCTACGAGTAACGGGTATAAAAAGTCATATCCCAGAGTAGAAGAGAAAACGATAAAAACCAACGAAGCAATAATTTATTTCCTATTATATTCCCATTAATGATCCGATCGTTCCTATGGTAGCTATATGATATAGTCGTCCGATTTTGAAAAAAAATTATTCGAAATTCAGAATTAGATAAAAAATGGCATTTCCAAAAGTAGGAGGTTATAGGTTCAAAAACACCCACGATATAATTTTTTTTAAATTTTGTTCCCCGATTATTCTTATTGGAGCTATATGATATAGTTGTCCGATCCGGCTCGTTCCGACTTATATACTACCTGCAATAGATATAAGACTTTTGGGAAAGTTTTAGCCCGATAGCTTTAAAACTGAAAACAGACGGACAGACGGACGGACAGACGCACATGGCTAGATCGACTCGTCTAGTCATGCTGATCAAGAATATATCACTATGGACGGCAGTCCATGTAGTGACGAAGCGCACCAGGAGAGTGTGCGAAGGCGACTACTATTATATAGCCGCAAAATTGAAAATCTGCTGTGATAGTCCGATTGTAATGAGTAATACACCAATCGAAAGGTATTGCAAAAACTTAAAGGATTGCATACCAAGACTTTAAGAAAATTAATTGGCTTGGGAGAGAGAGCGGTGAAAGTGAAAAAGTGAAAATTTCGAATTTTGGAGCTGTTGGGGCCGGTGGGGATAAATGCCCCCTAGCAATGTTTTAATTGTGTTTCTATTGAAAATACCCGTTAAATGAGGAGTCATATGCTAAAATCCGACGCTCCGTTCAAAAGTTATAGCCAAAATAAGATTGATTCAGTTTGTCAGTTTGTCCAAAACATGTTTTTTAAGTTTTGAAAATTTGATATGACGTTTATCACATCGATATAAAAAACTTTTGTTTTATCACTTTTGGAAAAACTCGCTAGCTTAGCGGGAAAACGGCTATAAATAGCTAAAATTCGTTAGTAGTTCGTAGTTCGATATTGATAAAATTAAAATCGAAATTCGAAAACATTTAAAACAAGAGAGAACGCTATAGTCGGGTTGATGTCCCGACTATCTAATACCCGTCCCTCTAAGGGAGTGCGAACGCTGTACTCGGGTTGGTGTCCCGACTAATAATCGTAACTCAGCTAAAAGGAAGTGCGAGGGAGATAGATATATAAATTTTGATTGCGTATAACTTTTTAATGAATGGTCCGATTTGAAAAATGTCTTCTACACTTCGATAGGTATAAATATACACAACAAAATTGCATTTATACTTTTCGGAAATCTTTAAAGATGTGGGCGCAGGACCCATTTTAAAATCGTTAGTGGGCGATTGTGGGCGTTAGAGGGGGCGTGGCGCTCGGCTAAAATAAACTTGCGTTGCGTAGGAAGCCAAAGAATATGTGTGGGAAATCTCAACCTTCTAGCTTTTGTAGTTTCTGAGATCTCAGCGTTCATACAGACGGCCAGACGGACAGACGGAGAGACGGAGAGACGGACAGACGGACAGACGGACATGGCTAGATCGACTCGGCTAATGTCCCTGATCAAGAATATAGATACTTTATGGGGTCGGAAACGCTTCCTTCTAGCTGTTACATACTTTTGCACGAATCTAATATACCCTTTTAATCTACGAGTAACGGGTATAAAAAGTCATATCCCAGAGTAGAAGAGAAAACGATAAAAACCAACGAAGCAATAATTTATTTCCTATTATATTCCCATTAATGATCCGATCGTTCCTATGGTAGCTATATGATATAGTCGTCCGATTTTGAAAAAAATTTATTCGAAATTCAGAATTAGATAAAAAATGGCATTTCCAAAAGTAGGAGGTTATAGGTTCAAAAACACCCACGATATAATTTTTTTTAAATTTTGTTCCCCGATTATTCTTATTGGAGCTATATGATATAGTTGTCCGATCCGGCTCGTTCCGACTTATATACTACCTGCAATAGATATAAGACTTTTGGGAAAGTTTTAGCCCGATAGCTTTAAAACTGAAAACAGACGGACGGACAGACGCACATGGCTAGATCGACTCGTCTAGTCATGCTGATGAAGAATATATCACTATGGACGGCAGTCCATGTAGTGACGAAGCGCACCAGGAGAGTGTGCGAAGGCGACTACTATTATATAGCCGCAAAATTGAAAATCTGCTGTGATAGTCCGATTGTAATGAGTAATACACCAATCGAAAGGTATTGCAAAAACTTAAAGGATTGCATACCAAGACTTTAAGAAAATTAATTGGCTTGAAAGAGAGAGCGGTGAAAGTGAAAAAGTGAAAATTTCGAATTTTGGAGCTGTTGGGGCCGGTGGGGATAAATGCCCCCTAGCAATGTTTTAATTGTGTTTCTATTGAAAATACCCGTTGAATGAGGGGTCATATGCTAAAATCCGACGCTCCGTTCAAAAGTTATAGCCAAAATAAGATTGATTCGGTTTGTCAGTTTGTCCAAAACATGTTTTTAAGTTTTGAAAATTTGATATGACGTTTATCACATCGATATAAAAAACTTTTGTTTTATCACTTTTGGAAAAACTCGCTAGCTTAGCGGGAAAACAGCTATAAATAGCTAAAATTCGGAAAGCCGTAACTTCTATACTACTACTACTACTACTTGTGCTGCATCTCGTTTGAAAGGTATTTTTAAATGCTATAAACGCCTTCTATATGCAATTTGTGTAAATATAATAGTTAAAAAGATATGAACAAAAGACAATTTTTTAAAGCTTTTTTTTTAGCTTTTTTTATTTTTCTAAAAAACGGCTCTAACGACTTTCTTGAAATTTTTAAACTGTATAGCCCTTGAGATTCCTTAAATTTTGGAGTATAACACATTACTGTAAAAAGTCACGTTTAAATATTATTTTTATGCGAAAATAGCCACTTTTGCCAGCTCGAACAACTAACGCTCCCTGAGTATTGAATTTTGTGTGAGGGTATCCGAACTGTATTTTAGGGTCAAGGAATCAGTAAATTTGCACTTAAGAGTTCCATATAGGAATCTTTTGTTCTACGACTTTTGGAAAAAGCCGCTACTTTAGGGGAAAAAGCTAAAAATAGCTAAATTTCGTTAGTTTGTAAGTTATACACTACTAAAGGTACAGACATGTGCTATACCTCGTTTAAAAGGTATTTTGAAATACTTCAACGCCTTTTTATCTTAATTCATTAAAATACAATAGTTTAAAAATTATGATTGACCAATTTAAATTTAAATGTTTATATTAGCATCTATGAGAGCAAAAGTAAACAAACAAAAACTTCTGATATCAAATAAAAACACCTCTTAACGAGGTAAAAAACTAGTGACGATCGCACCTTTAACGTACGAAAGTTCTGATATCAACTTTTGTGACGAAAAATGATTTTATGATTTAGTCGCATCTAAAATCATTTTTCGTCACAAAAGTTGATATCAGAACTTTTGTACGTTGAAGGTGCGATCGTCACTAGTTTTTTTACCTCGTTAAGAGGTGTTTTTATTTGATAGAGCTTTAAAGAATAACTGTTATTTTTTTTAGCTTTTATAATAAAGCTAAAAAAATAACAGGTTTTATTTTTCGATTGACAGATAACAGTTATTTTTGAGTTTTGTAATAAAAGTTTAAAAATAACAGTTATTCCTTGAGTTTTATTGAGTTTTATAATTTCTATCCAAAATAAAACTCAAAGTTCTGGTAACGAGTTTGTCGTAATTTCACACAGTAGGTTTTAATTGTGAGGGCGAGATTTTTCGATGTTCGGCGCCTACTTCTAGCCAAATTGAAAGGTCAATTTTTACGAATGAGACAGATTTTTATGTAAAATGGGATTTAAAAATACTTGTTACTTTTCACGATCTCACGGGAAATATTCAATAAATTCAATCCTTCGACGTCCAATGGTATTTTTTATCTGTAAAATTTGGTGAAAGCCGCCTCTAATGCCTGTAAAATACTTTAAGGCACATATTTTTCCTTGTATTTTAAAAGTCTGTTCACCGCATCAAATTGGTTGTAAATAGAGGTGAGCAAATTACTTAAGTGGCCCATAAATTCGGATTGACCCAAATTAGGATGGAACCTTAAATGCAAGTCTGTAGAAGGGCATCTAAGCATTTTTTTGGCATAGGATTCAATACAATTGAATACAGACCCTTAAAAATATCATAAGTCAAATCATTAGGGGCTGCTATTTTTTTCTAAATGCGATTACACAAATATCACACGCTAAAAAACTAGGTATGCAGATTTGCTTATATAAATCTTTATTAACACAATTTAATGCCCATAAGCCTTCACCATTTTATAAAGTCCATTTTGTTGTCCATTGTAAAAGTTCATCACGTTTTGAACATTTAAGATCTTGTGACATCAACAAATAAAGGTTTCAAGGTTTGAATTTTTTATGTGATTTAATCGCAGTAAATATTGTTGGGTATATTTTTTGAAATCCAATATATTTTGTGTTTCTCAGCAATCAATTATGAGTCAGAGGGATCATAGATATCAGGCCCTACCACTCAGTACTGGTAGCCGTAGGTTTGTGGCACGTAAGCGGCGCTGAAGAGCTGCTGCTGGTGCTGGGGGATTCCATAGTTGGGTGCGACATAGGTGGCCACTGGGGAAGAGTAGGCGCCTGCGGATCCGTAGCTGGGGGCTGGAGCGCTGCACGGCACCGGGGCGAGGTTAGGCTGGCAGCTGAACAAATAGTTCTTGGGGCACGGAGGGGCTGGGAGGCTAGAGCCTCCGTAGCCGCCGGAGCTTCCGCCGTAGGCAGACTTTCGAAGACGGGTCAGATCCCCGAATCCCTGTCCGGCGACTCCCTCCACCTCACCGTCCTGAGCTGTCAAGGATACCGTGGAGCCAATGGAACCGGTAGCAGAAGCCACGTTGGTGGGCGAAGCCAGAGCGGCAGCAACGAAGGCGACCAGAGCGATGCACACGAAGGATTTCATCTTGATGGGTGTGAGATGACTACTCTGAAAGCGGAAGGGAGCTGGTTGCGCTGTTTGTAGTTACCAAAAGGTGACTGATGGCAATCCCATGCGGTTGCGAATTATATATAGCAACTCAAACTGCCTAGCTTGCAGTATACTCAGAGTTTAATGGCTAAATCTATTCTTCGTTTCTACCTTGATTACTTTTCTGCTCCATCAGCCCAATGCTAAATACTTATCAGTGACTTAAGTAGTTCTTCATCAGCTTTTTTAGGTCATAACTGGACAGAAAAGTGTTTAGGTTGCCGAAAATATGGGAAAAATTTAGTGCACTGCACCTTAGGTTTTTAGGCGTGTATTTTTAACGATGCCATTTATGCCAGCATTTTTGCATTTTTTCTCACTTTTACAACTTTGATGAAGTGTAGCTTTTAAACCAATGAATGGAACTCAATGCAGTGTATAAGAAAGTTGGAGAGCATTCTATTACCTGTAAAATTAGTTATTTATGGTTGAAATCGGTTAGCCACAACTCAAGTTAGAAATTGAAAAAGGGTCAAAAACGTTTTTTACAATTTAAAAAAAAATTTATCCAAAAAAAAAATTTTAAGTGCCATTTTCTGAATCAGGAAGACGTACCTTACCGGAAAACAAAGGTTTCATTCATGGTATATTTCATCGATTTTTTCTTGTAAACTGGTGTTATTTACGGTCCCTGGTTTGTAGACAATTTTGGATATTATTTTTTTCGCTCATTTTTATGTTATCATTTTCTATAGGCGCTTCTTGTAACTGCGAATTTTCACACATGTATGTACATCTTTGTTTTTTTTCTACATTTCATTTATTAGAAGATATTTGTAAATTTTTGTTTTTTGTACTGAAATTAAAACTGAATGATTTTGTTTTGTTTTTTATGATTTAAATACATTGAAAGAACTAGAGAACACCATTTGTTTATATTTCGAAAAGCTTGTGGAGAGGGGGAGAGGAGTTACACTTTCACAAATTTATACTGAAGATAATTGAAATATACATATCTTGGATGCTAATAATGAAATTTTAGCACTGTAACTTCACTGGAAGTATATTTGCGCACCATCGCCATATAAGCCATACTAAGGTGCTATGTGAGCTATAGGATAGAGTCTTCCGATGTTGTCAATTTTTTTACTCCATATTCTCAATATTTTTTTTAGATTTTTGAGGAAAATTTCATAACGATATCTCAACGGGAAATATTTATGGCCGCGGCTCCATACAAGCACAACCAGTGTGGAATGGTCCGATTTAAAAACTTTCTTTTACATTTCGATTGGTATTAATAAACACAATAAAAGTAAATTTTTACTTTCCTGAAATCTTTAAAAGTTTGGGCGCCAGACACCTTTTAAAATGGTTTAGGGCGATTGTGGGCGTTAGACCCTCGTGACCCTTAGCTGGAACCAACTTGCGCTGCATACGAAGCCCAAGAATATGTGTGGGTAATCCCAACTTTCTATAGAAAATATATTTGCGGTATCTTTAAATTAAGAAAATCAAAATTTTTCTTCGTCTTTTGGGATATATCTTCAAGAGTGGTCAACCAATTTTGGTGATCTTTTCGGAATTAAATAGTTACATGTCTCTATTATTTGGTCGTTTTTGAAAATTCATCCTTAAATTAAATGAAAATATTTTCTTCTACAATGCATTTTTGACCGAATGATACCTTATGTTTTAATTTTTAAGACATTCATCAGATTTTTATACCCTCGCAGAGGGTATTATGATTTCAGTCAGAAATCATAATTGCAACGCACTGAAGGGGACGTTTCCGACCCCATAAAGTATATATATTCTTGATCAGCACTAGACGAGTCGATCTAGCCATGCCCGTCTGTCCGTCGGTCCGTCTGTCCGTCCGTTTCTACGCAAACTAGTCTCTCAGTTTTGAATCTATCGGCTTGAAACTTTCCCAAAAGTCTTTTTTCTTTTGCAGGTAGTATATAAGTCGGAACCGACCGGATCGGACAACTATATCTTATAGCTCCAATAGGAAGGATCGGAAAAAAAATCGTTATAAAAATTCTAGCTTCGGTGTTTTTTGAAATATTACCTTCTACTCTTGGGGATGATCTGCAAGGGAATATTAAGGGTATTTTTAAGCGAAATAATATCGCTCACATAATAACACTAGTTTACAGCCGAAATGCTCCCCAGCAATTGATGGCAAATTCTGTTAGATTTGGATCCCTAGATCACGAAAATAGCACTAAATTTTTTTTCGATGGCACAGTTTTTTTTTTAAGATTTTTTAAAGTTTGAAATGTTAAATTTCGGACTTTTTTCGAATTTCTTCTTATATCTCGGCAGATATCCACTCGGTTGGGCCAGTTTTAGTTTTATTTTAAAGTCAATAGATCAGAGCTTAACTTTGCCATACAGATTAATACGATTGGATGAGTAATGGCAGCGCAGAAGCTTGACAAAGATGAAAAATGAGTTTTTTGGTCGACTGTAAGTCGGCTGTACATATCGTAAAAACTCGAAATAAATCCGTTGAAAAATCATAACGAGTACAAACATAAAGTTTGCATCCTACCAAATAAAACAAGCCGGATATGGCCCAAATCCATGGACTGGACTAGCTATTTTTTGACCCGGCTGCCGTCACCACTCATTTTTGTTTACATGTCGCCGCCTATGATAAATCTTAAATTTGGACTCTGTCAACCGAAAAAAGTGGAAAAATCCGAACTTTAAAAATCCACCATAAATCCAGTTTTCCATGGATTTGGGCCATATCCGGCTTGTTTTATTCGGTAGGATGTAAACTTTAAGTTTGTACCCATTATGATTTTTCAACGGATTTATTTCGAGTTTTTACGATATATACAGCCGACTTACATTTGACCAAAAAACACATTTTTCATCTTTGTCGAGCTTCTGCGCTGCCATTACTCATCCAATCGTATTGATCTGTATGGCAAAGTTAAGCTCTGATCTATTGACCTTAAAATAAAACTAAAACTGGCCCAACCGAGTGGATATCTGCCGAGATATAAGAAGAAATTCGAAAAAAGTCCGAAATTTAACATTTCGAACTTTAAAAAATCTTTAAAAAAAAACTGCCCCATCGAAAAAAAAATAAGTGCTATTTTTGTGATCTAGGGGTCCAGCACTACCAGAATTTGCCATCAGTTGCTGGGGAGCACACCAAGAATATTATTTTGTAAACTAGTGTAATCATTATTTCTGAGCGATATTTTTTTCGCTTACAAAATAACACAGGCCGACAAAATGTGACATGGGTCGATGTCCAGGCCTGCCACCATTTTATTTCGATAAATTAGGCTTTTCTAAGCATAAAAATCATTAAAAATCTTCATTTGTGAACAGCGTTTAAAAATTAAATAAAAATATTTTCTTCTACGATGCATTTTTGATCCAAAGACACCTTATGTACTTAATTTTTAGGACACTCATCAGGTTTTTGTGAATTGTTTTGGAATTTTTAAAATTGTTTTTCTTCCTTCCTTCACAGTTACGATTCACAAACAGTGCCCAAACCTGTCACTATTTTACGTAACGCATAACTATTTTTGAGCACAAGTGACCCTTGCTTTAAAAATATTTATACATGGGCGTAAGTTAAAAGCTAGAGGGGGATTACACTTCAGGCATTTCAGCCCCCAAAGATTAGTAGGCTACGCTCATGTGCTTATATTCAAAGCAAAACTACTTAGATCGTTTAGAAATATGTTATTTAAAATTGTGACAGGTTTGGGCACTGTTTGTGAATCGTCACTGTGAAGGAAGGAAGAAAAACAATTTTAAAAATTCCAAAACAATTCACAAAAACCTAATGAGTGTCCTAAAAATTAAGTACATAAGGTGTCTTTGGATCCAAAATGCATCGTAGAAGAAAATATTTTTATTTAATTTTTAAACGCTGTTCACAAATGAAGATTTTTAAACTTTGCTGTGACTTTAAAATTTTGAATGCGCCCACCTCCTCTTGTGGTTGAGTTAGATTGAATTTTCCAAAACGACCGTATAAAAGAGACATGTAACTATTTAATTCCGAAAAGATTACAAAAATTGGTTGACCACTATTGAAGATATATCCCAGAAGCCGAAGAAATTTTGTGATTTTCTTAAATTAAAGATACCGCAAATACCAGAGCTGATGGACTATAGGCGTAGTGGCGACTTATGCTTAGAAAAGCCTCATTTATCGAAATAAAATGGTGGCAGGCCTGGACACCGACCCATGACACATTTTGTCGGCCTGTGTAATCATTGAATGGAGATTTTTATTTTTTCACTTATAATGATTACGGTCCCTGCAGAAAAGTCCTTTATTTTCTAAATTATAAGGCTTTTTTTCTAATCTTCCTTTCTTTTTTTAAGGGCTAAAATCGCCATTGATTTTAGAAAAAATGACTGAACTTTTCTAAAGATAAATAAAATTGCCATTGAAATAATAAATATTCCTTCATAATAGAAATATTGTTTTTCTAAAAAACAGAAAAAATGTTTAAAGATTTTTCTAACATTCAGAAAGAAATGTGTGTTAGATATATTTTTCTAGAAAAAAATGGAACCTTATTTGATCAATTTTTCTTCTTATACAAATTTTGTTTAGCCTTTTTAAGAGCTGACCCCTTTCTCCGAAATTTACTCTATAGGGTTGGAAATAATTCTACCTGTTACATACTTTCTCGTGAATACAATATACCCTTTCACTTCACGAGTAACTACTCTTTAACATGACTTCGGCAGATATATTCAGCTTATGTTCCTTAGCTTCGTTTTCTGGTCTTTCAGTAGGCAGATCAAAAAAAGGATCGTAAGAATTCACATTTTAAAGAAATCGTCGTGAAGTTATTTATAAAAGAGCAATACCCGAAGCGACGTTGCACAGTGGCGCCTTGGGCCAAAAAACGTGCAATAAATCACTTTTTCGACTTCGTCCTAGAATGTTGCGACCCATACCAATCGACAGGTAATTACAAATATGTAACCCTTTTTCAAATCAAACAATTTTTGTAAAAGATATGCATTTTCAGAGTTAAACAATTTTTCACTTTAAAAAA